TCTGAAGGAAACCATCAAGCTCAGAGAGTAGCAATGACTACTTCTCCTCCTCCTCCTCCTCCTCCTCCTCCTTATTCTTTCTTGAATGGCGACCAAATGCTTCCAGAGTGGGGCACATTTGGGACAAAGAGATGCAGGAACAAAAGACTCCATCCATTTTGTCCAGCTCACTACAGCTACCTGGTTTTGGATTAGACAGAGGTCTATACTCAGGTGTCATGGATATTTATGGCTTGATCAGGTGAGCCAATTATATGCCCTTGTTTCTGACTGTCAGGGAAGATTTATACCCATTCTTTGGTGGTGGCAACTTGTAGTTAAGAGAGAAGCAACCTAGAACTGAGGAGAAATTAATTAATGTAATTAATTAATTAATTAATCAGTGGAAAAACCTGCCTCCGGAAGTGCTCCAACACTGGAAGTCTTTAAGAAGAGATTGGACAGCCATTTGTCTGAAATGGTATAGGGTTTCCTGCCTGAGCAGGGGGTTGGACTAGATGACCTCCAAGGTCCCTTCCAACTTTATCATCATCATCATCATCATCATCATCATCATCATCATCATCATCATCATCATCATCATTATTTAGCCTTTCACCCTCCGGATCAGATCACTAACCCCATATTGATGGCAGCTCTGACACAAAGACCCATGGCTTGGTCAGTTGAGCCAAATGTAAACTCTGATTTCTAGCTCTCAGCTCTAAGCCTATCAGTGATGGTTCTCCAAAGAACAACCTTTTGAATTCTCCATTGTGTAAAATTAAGCAGGGCAGGTCTGCAGGGACCTCTTCGTTTTTAAAAGTTAAGCAGCGTGTAGAAGACACCTCTGGGCAGAAATTCACAAGCGAATCTCTTTCTACAGGTTCCCGTCAGCCAAGATTCACCATTCAACTTTTCCAAATTGTGCATCAACTTGGACCAAAGACCCAACTTCTCTCACCAGCTGGTGGCCTTCTTCTTCTTTCTTTAAATAAAGACATTGGGTCCTTACTTCCCACTGATGGTGTTTTTTTTCCTGCTGTCCCTTTGGAGGCTCTCCACCCTCCCTTTGATGTGTGTCCTCCCCACGTGTGAGGATGAGGGGCTGATTAAACAAGGAGCCAGCTGTGTGCAGCAGCAGCAACCAAAAAAGCTAATACAATCCTGGTAACATAAGCATAAGATAAGATGAGATGAGATGAGATGAGATGAGATGAGATAAGATAAGATAACCTTTATTGTCATTTTTATACTTTGGGAATAATGGCACACATCAAAAATGAAATTTAGTTGCCCGCTCTCAAAGTGAAACACATACATGACACACACCTAAACATACTATGAACAACATAGGTATAGACCCACATCCCTACATATACGTAGCAAATAAATATTAAATATTGTCCATCTTGAATATATAACGGAAGGAGGAAGCTTGAGAGTTCACAAGGTTAATGCTGTATGGAATGAAACTATGGCTGAATCCGGATGTTCTGCTGTGGATACCACGGAGCCCCCTCCTCCCAGAAGCGAACAAGGAAAACAGGTCGTGAAGAGGATGTGTAGTGTCCCAGATAATCTTACGGACCCTGCTCAAGCAGCGCTTCTGTGCTATGTCCTGGATGGGAGGGAGGGAACTGCCAATGATCTTTTCTGCTGTCCTCACCACTCTCTGCACTGCCTTCCTGTCCAAAGCAGGGATGCTTCCAAACCAGACTGTGATGCTGTATGACAGGATGCTCTCCATCGTCCCCCTGTAGAAAGTGGTCAGGACAGGGGAAGGAAGATGTGCTTTTCTCATGTGGCGCAGAAAATGCAGGCGCTGCTGTGCCCACTTCACCAGTTTCTCACTGTTGAGCGACCAAGTCAGCCTACTCGTTAGCTGCACACCCAGGAATTTGATGCTGGTAACCGTCACCACAGGTGAATCATTTATGCACAGAGAAGTGTGGCTTAGAATCAAGATCACACGAGGTATTCGTACCACTTTATAAAATCCTAGTAAGGCCACACCTGGAATACTGCAGCCAATTCTGGTCACTATATCACAAAAAGATGTTGAGAGTTTGGAAAAAAAATAAGAGAAGAGCAACTAAGGTGATCCAAGGCCTGGTGGCTAAAAAATATGAAGAACGGCTAGGGACTTGGGTTTGGCTAGTCTAGAGAAAAGAAGAAATAGGGGCGACACGATAGCAGAGTTTCAGTATCTGAGGGGCTGCCACAAGGCAGAGGGGGTCAGGTTGTCAACCAGAGCACCAGAGGGAAGGATGAGAAACAACAGTTGGAAACTGACCAAAGAGAGAAGCAACCTGGAATTAAGGAGAAACTTCCTGACAGTGAGGATAATCAACCAGTGGAAGAGCTTTGCCTCCAGAAATTGTGGGCGCTCCATCACTGGAGGTTTTTAAGAACAGACTAGACAATCACTTGTCTAAGATAGTGTAGGTTCTCCTGATTGGGTGAGGGGCTGGACTAGAAGACCTCCAAGGAGCTATTCTATAATAGCCAGCTCTATTCTATAATAATAATAATAAAAAGGTTGAGGTTTGGTGGTTCAGGAATCCTCTGTCCATTGGCTTGCAGTCCTCGTTGAGGCCAACTTGAGGGCCTATCTGTGCCCTCGGGGTCACCCGAATAGTGCAAATGGGTGTGGACATAATTGCTTTGTCCAGGGAATTCCCCTGCATAATATGTTCTCCATCAAAGAATGGCCTCTGGGATCCCACCAAGTATGACCCTTAAACAAAAGTCTTATGGAGGGGGATCCACCTTCCTCTAAATCACTGGGGGGTTTAACTAGCCAAATCATGGAATATCGTGAGTCCAACCAGGATGAGGTAGACTTCCTGAGTGAGGTTCAGAATCCTGGCTTAAGCAGGTTTATGTGACACCCTCAAGCTGTGGTGCTTACCTTCAGGGGGTTCATGCATTGGGGTCTTTGCCCGTGTCAGGAGAGTAGGAGGAGGAGCCCTTCTACTAAGAGAAGTAGACTCTAAGGAGGTAGCTGAGGTCCAGCTGGAAGCGTCCTGAGTGCTTTATTTTCTTCATCTTCGTTCCAAACATCCCATGACGGGGCTGATTCCTGAGGTGGAGTCAGGTGGTGAAATATCTCCACAGTAAGCTACTCACATGTTCTGTGCAAGAAAAAAACCACAAGCAGGAGGTGAAATGTTTGCCCAAAGGTTGAGTAAACTGGGTTTTGCAGCACATCTCAACGAATCTGCCTTGGGAAACAATGCCTGAGTTTCCTCATTCTGTGGGTTGTGTGCTTCAGGTCAAGTCAGAAAGGGCTTACTACTCTGTGGTTCCCGTGCTACCTTGCTACCAGCTTCATGTAGTTATTAAAGAGGAGAGGGAAAGGGCCAAGCCTGGAAATGGTCTATCATGAAGGGGCTGCCACCCCTCACTGGACCACTCCCTTGAGTAGAACCAGGTCCACTGCACCTTGGGGCCTCCAACTTCCACCCATTTAGGGGATCTCCAAACTTGGCAACATTAAGACTTATGGAATTCAACTCCCAGAATTCTTAGAGTTGGCTGGCTGGGGAATTCTTGAAGTTGAAGTCCACAGTCTTAAAGTTACCAAGCTTGGAGACCTCTGTTCTGAACGTTCAAGAAGAATCGAATGAGAAGAAGATAGACTTCATTGGTCTTCATTGGCCATGTTGCTACCATCCTCACTGAAAAATTCTGGAGGCCCAGAATGAGAAGTAGGAAGATAGACTTCATTTATTGGCCATGATTCTATCATGCTAGATATAGAATTTCAGGAGTTGAAGTCCAAAAGTCCACAACAGCCTTTTCCTCCAGAAATCATGGGCGCTCCCTCACTGGAAATTTTTAAGAAAAGACTAGACAGTCACTTGTCTGAAATGGTATAGGTTCTCCTGCTTGAACAGGGGGCTGGACTAGAAGACCTCCAAGGTCCATTCCACTTCTATTCTATTCTAAGTCTTAAAGTTGCCACTTTTGGATACTCCTGGTTTAGGTGATGGAGAAGGATGGAACGGTCCACAGCACTGAGAGCCACCAAGAGATTAGGCAAAGGGAGAATGGTTGCGTTCTCTTCACCCAGGTCCTCTCACAGGTCACCCTGAAAAGTGACGATGCTGTTAGAGATCCATAGCAAGCCTGAAGCTAGACTGCCACAGGTACAAAACAACCCACTTTTTCTCTGGTCGTTTGCAGTTGCTGCCTTTGTGAGAAAAACAAGTTTGTGGAGGGGAGGGAGCTGTTAGCAAGACAGAAACATAGAAGGATTGTGTGTTAATTGCAGCACCCTGGACGTTCTCAGTTCTTAGCAGGCTTTATCAAAACCTCTAGGGCAGGGGTAGGCAACCTTGGCTCTTTTATGACCTGTGGAGTTGAAGTTCACAAGTCATAAAAGAGCCAAGGTTGCCTACCCCTGCTCCAGGGCAACCCAACTGGCATGTTTCTTTTTATTAAGACAATAATAGTAACAAGTGGAATGGCAGGGAAGTAACTTGAGGTTTGTTAATTATGAGTATCTATGCTCACATCATCTGTTCCCTAGGAATGTGAAGTGTAAGCAATCATATCCACGTGTGCAGAGTTCAAGCTAGCTACTTTATCATAGTCTGTCCATAACACCAAACCTTCTGCTCTCAAGGTCCATCTCAGCCAAAGAGGAGAAGCTTCCTCACCTCTCCCATCACATCTGGAGGGCAGCCCTGATAAGGAAGTTGCATCAACCCCCCCCCATGCACACCCAGTCAGGGACCCCCCAACTCATTCACATGGGACTTTCCCAATGCTACTGCCACTCCGGAAAGACGAGTTTTGCTTGACCAGACAAAGGACCCATTGACATCAACAGCTTCCCCCAAACTGGCCAGCCAATCCAACTCTCAGGATTCTCAACTTCTTGTTCAACCAACTAAAGAAAGAGAAAATTGAAATTCTCACTCTGTTACTTCATCCTGCTTCCTGGATGTGAAATTCCCAGTTCTGAGGATATTTAGGGCCAGCAGCCCGGGTGTCGGGCAGACGGCTTCATCATGTCTTCTGGAGGTCTTCTGCTGCTGCTGGGACTCCTCACCCTCTGGGCAGAGCTGACCCCTGTCTCCGGCCGATACTGTCCAAGTGAGATCTTCCAGAATGATCTTGAAACCCTTTGTTGGAAGGGGCTGATGTGGTCAGAGGGCAGAGTTCTCCCCCAGGGAGGGAAAACCAAGAGCCCCAGTCTAGAACCTCTGGCTTGGTGGGAAAGTTCTTGAGATGGTAGTTGGGTGTCAGCTGAAGAGGAGACAGAAATGGGAGGGGGCCCCAAGAAAGAGAAATGCAATTTCAGGGGAAGGCTGGCCTATCTTTACTCAATGCAACAACAGAATCATATTTTTAAGCAACAAATTTAAGGGATTACCTGCTAACTATTTTGTTATTAGTAGAGCGTATAGATGACAGGCTAACAATTTGTGAACATCTTTAGTAGTTTAGCCATTTAAAATTCTTTTGGCCTGTTTTGCAAGAGGGGGGGCAAACTAACATTGCTGTATTATATTAATCAGCATTCAACGAGGGAGGATATTATCTGTATTAGTCTTTCTTTTCTTTTCTTTTAAGACACCTTTTCTTTTTAATTTCTTCTTTGTTGTTTTTTTAATTCTTTTGCCTTTTTATGTTTTGGCATTTTGTATTTTAACTTTGTTTGAATAAACTAAATATGAAAGAAAGAAAGAAAGAAAGAAAGAAAGAAAGAAAGAAACAGAAAGAAAGAAAGAAAGAAAGAAAGAAAGAAAGAAAGAAAGAAAGAAAGAAAGAAAGAAAGAAAGAAAGAAAGAAAGAAAGATTGCTCTCGACTATTTGCAATCTAAACATGCTAGGAAGGCACCAGGTTGGGGAAATGCATTAAAGACATTTCTGCTAGCTAATCAAATAACACACACACACACACACACACACACACACACCCCTTTCCATTTCCTGCAGGGTTTTGTTCTCTTCCTGCTGAAACCGGACCGTGTAAAGGCAGAATTCCTCGCTTCTACTAGGCTTCAAATAAATGTCAAAAGTTTATTTATTATATTTTATTTATTGGGTATTATGGAAGATCTGGATAAAAAAGAAATGGATTTGATGTTGAATTTGATAACTGCTGCAAGATTACTAGTAGCTCAATGTTGGAAAACGGAATGTTTGCCCACTATAGAAGATTGGGTATTCAAAGTTTCAAATTTAGCAGAAATGGCTAAGATTTCTGCCTATGTGAAGGATTATTCACAAGAAAGATATATTCTGGTTTGGAGAAGATGGATAGATTATATTGAGAGTAAATATGGAACTAAAAAGTTTCATTTGGTTTTTGAGTAAACTTTAGAGTGTTAATGTAGTTT